TCTGACTGGAGATGTGCAGCCCAGGATCGAAGGACCTAGCATAGCTACGCACGACGTGTAAGACCATTTTCAGTAACAACAGAAACATGAAATATCAGCACATATTTACCCGGGCGACCTTGGTATTCTTGGTAACTGAAGGCTTTTATCAGCAAACGTGATAGGTAATCCTAAATGTGCACAAAATTGCTGCTGTGTGAACACAACTAGAGTGCCAGATGAAATGAACGTCAGGATCGCCAGCAAGCTGACCACCAGATGATGCAGCATTGGTCAAAGCAAATGAACAAATTGGCAGGCGCATAGTTGAAGAGTGACGCTGTGAATCATACTTGATCCAAGTATTCCTAGTTTTAATACTTCGGTAAATCGCCAAATTTTTCGTGCAAACGCATAATAAACGATTTGCCTAATGTTATCTTTGTGCTCCATTGTTTTTTATATTAATTGTGGAATAAATTTGTTTCCCAACTGAAAATTCTAGTATATGCATGTCAGAGTTTTCTTCATTTTTCACTGAAGGAAAAAGGAAATCTCTGGCATGATTATTCGTTACGCCATTGATTGAATCAGAGAAGAATGAATTAGTAGCCGTTTCAGATATCAAAGTATCACCAGAATATGCATATTCCTAACGTTGGTATTTTTGCCAGAATACTTCCCCAAATCGAAGAGACCTGTCTTGAACCATCTTATCCTGATCCTTCAATAATCAAGATGGGATGGGCCAATGTGTTTTCCTTTTTTTTTTTTAAATCAAAACAAACCAATTTCTAGACCCCATACATATAAAACGGGGCAATCTCCGCCTTGCTTCTTTCTTACCTACATGGCCTGCCCAACTTCACTTTAGTTTTCCGCAGTCGTATATAAAGCTGCATAGAACGAAAATGTCCCAGAAACATCACTAGCATGGAATGTTCACACTGATTGTCTAGCGGTTTTGGACTGCTTGATATTATGAGGTATTCGCAGCTTGTCATCATGTATTTTGCTGAACGTTTGATTTTTGAGTTTCTTTCTTTACTTGGTTTTTTGCTTACATATTTGGTGCTCTGGTAGGACGATGATAACCGACTTTGGGTTTTTCTATTCAAACAGTTCGTACGCGCTTACATTTTTCGTTGAAA